GACGTGGTAAAAGAGTCTGAACAAGTGGGATTATTTAAGGTAGGGAAGGAAATCCCAAGAGAAGTTGAGGAGCTGCAGGAGACCGCACATGCTAGTCACATGCTGGATAGTAAGATGGCGCCTGATCCTTTCAAAGACTTCATCTGTGTGGGTAAGATTTAGTCAGGTAGAACAGGAATAGGTAAAGAAGTTAAAATATTGAGAGATACGGGAGCTGGTCTGTCTCTAATAGTAAGAGATGAAAATATTTGCACTCCTTCTGAAATATTAAGGAGAGAGGAATAGTGCTCCCTTCTGTAAGATAAGGCTAAAAAGTTCAGTCAAGACTGGGGAAGTGATAGTGAGAGTGGTGGAAAAATTGGTTATTCCAGGAATACAGTCTATTCTTAGAAACAATATAGCTGGATCACAGGTAGGAATGATGCTCATTATAATGGAAAAGCCAAAAGAAAACCAGGGAACTGAGGAGTTAAAAGAAAAATACCCTGGAATTTTTCCGGACTGTGGTGACAAGATCCCACAGCCATAAGTTAAAACAAGAAGGGAAAACAAAAGAGAAAGATGAAGGAGTTGAGGTCCAGTTAGCTGACACTCTGTTTGATGAGATGGTAAAGGAAAGACCCAAGCAGGTAGAGGAATGGGCAGGGGTGTTTAGTTCTGAAAGATTAATGGAGTTACAACAAAAAGATGAGACGATAAAGGATTTACATTGTAAAGCCTACTTGGAAAAGGAATCAGAGTTTATTCCAGAATGCTATTACCTTAATGATGAAATCTTAAGGCAGAAGTGGAGACCTTGGCAGCTTAATGCAGATGAGAAATGGGCAGAAGTTCACCAGATTGTGTGGCCGGTAGAATACAGTCAGGAAGTATTGTGGATAGCACACAAATTACCTGTAGGAGGTCAGCTAGGAGTGAGGAAGACTCCGACTAAGATACAGAAGCATTTTTATTGGCCTGGATTGCATAAAGATATGCTCCAATTTTGCCATACCTGTCATATGTGTCAGATGGTAGGAGAGCCACAGGCCATGATAAAACTAGCACCCTTAATGCCAATCCCTGCGTTTGAAGAGCCTTTTACATGGGTACGTCCCTCCCTAAAACCAAAAGTGGGAACCAGTATTTGCTAACCATAATGGATGTGTCTACCAGGTTTCCGGATACAATTCCATTACGGAATGCCAAGGCAAAAAAGGTTGTGAAGGAGTTGCTCACTTTCTTTACCCGTTGTGGACTACCCAGGGTGATTCAGTCAGACCAAGGGTCCAATTTTACTGCCAAATTATTTGAGGAGGTTATGATAGTTTAGGCATCAAACACTTTAAATCAACTGCTATTATCCCGAATCCCAGGGAGCATTGGAAAAGTGGCATGAGACCCCAAAGACCATGTCGAGGACTTAATGCCAGGATTACCCAAATGATTGGGATAAAGGTATCCCATTTATATTATGGGCTATTAGAGATGCTCCAAAGTTCTAATTCATTTGAATTGACATTCGGACACGAAATAAGAAGGGCTTTAAAATTAATTAATGAAAAGTTGATAGGTCCGAAGTCAGCGATCTCACAGTTGGATTATGTATCTGAGGTGAGAGAAAGATTAACCAGAGTAGGTGAATTGGCTAGACAACATTAGAAGGTGGCACAGCACCTAATGAAGCAAGAAGCAGATAAGAAATCTAAAATTTGTACATTTGCCTGTGGGGATAAAGTATTGGTGCTTTTACTAGTGGTAGGAGATCCCTTCAAAACAAGGTTTAGTTTTCCCTATCAGATTGAGAAGAAGTTAGGTCAGGTAAATTACTTGGTAAAGATGCCAGACAGAAAAAAAAATTATCGGGTATGTCATGCGAACGTGCTGCAACACTACTGCGACAGAGAAAGGGAACCGGAGAAACAGGTATTAATTACTGCCACTCAGAGTGAGGAATCAAATCCAGCTGATTTGGATTTTCATGTGCCTCTGAACAAATTAAATAATGAGGAAGCCCTTAAGGAATGGGATAGGATACTGAGCTATCTGTCCCAGGAACAGAGAGCTGAATTGAAAGACTCATTACAGTGCTATGAGGACATACGTAGACTAATGCCATAGTACATGCGCTTCCGATAAAACAACACCCGTACAGGCTTAATCCTCTCAAACAGCACATGTTCAGCGGGAAGTGGAAGTGATGCTCCAAGACATCATAGAGCCAAGGCAAAGCGAGTGGAGCTCATTGATTGTGTTGGTTCCTAAATCTGATGGTAATCAATGATTCTGACTCATACCCAATCCCATGGCTGGAAGACTCTCTGGAAAAAGTAGGACAAGTCACTTACATCACAAAGTTGGACTTACTTTGTGGTTAGTGGCAAGTACCTTTGTTGGAGAAAGCAAAAGAAGTTTCTGCTTTTGAAGCCCCAAATGAGTCATATCAATTTAAAGTCATGACCTTTGGAATGAAAAACACACCAGCCACTTTTCAAAGGCTTATGAACAGTTATTGCAGGATTGACTAATTGGGAAATCTAGATAGAGGAGTTAGTGATCTTTAGCCATTTGTTTAAAGATCACATGGAGCATTTGGCAGAACTCTTTGAGAGACTACGGAAGGCAAAGCTGGTCATAAACTTGGCAAAAACAGAATTTGCAAAGGTGGAAGTGACATTCTTAGGGCACAACATTGGATATGGATGGATGACGCCAAGTAATGTGAAGATTAAGGCAACCAAGGAATTTCCAAGACCATCCTCAAAAGAAGAAAGTGCTACAATTTTTACGATTGAGTGGATTCTACAAGAAATTTGAACTAAACTTTAGTGGTGGCAGCGTTGATGGATTTGTTAAAAAAATACACGAAATTTCGGTGGACAGAACAATGCCAGTATGCATTTGAGAAACTGAAGGCAGTGTTAACCACATCAGTTTTAGCCATGCCAAATTTCTTGAAACCCTTCAAAGTTGCCATCGACGCAAGCAATGTAGGTGTAGGAGTTCTGTTGTTACAGGATAATGATTGTGGAATTGAAAGGCCAATCCATTATTTTTCAAAAAACTCAATATCCACCAGAAAAAAATATTCAACCATTGGAAAAGAGTTCGAGTTTGGTAATGGCAAGTACCTTTGTTGGAGAGAGCAAAAGAAGTTTCTGCTTTTGAAGCCCCAAATGAGTCATATCAATTTAAAGTGATGACCTTTGGAATGAAAAACACACCAGCCACTTTTCAAAGGCTTATGAACAGTTATTGCAGGATTGACTAATTGGGAAATCTAGATAGAGGAGTTAGTGATCATTTTAATGTTTACGTTGCAAACAATGTGTCAGAGGCCATTGTGTAGACCAATCACAATCCTTTGACATTCCTGGAAAGATTTAAGGAAAAGAACACCAGATTATTTGTTGGGCTCTCATATTACAAGCATTTAATTTACACATTGTATATGTTGCAGGTCGTGAAAATATTATCATGGATGCTTTATCGCGAGTTTAAAAGAAAAATGTTTATATAAGATTGAACACTACCGTTTCTATGTGTGAAAAAATAGCATTAGTATAATACGTGTAACTCTAGATTAATGAGGTATTAATCCAGTAATATTATGGATTAAGGGTTTAAAAGAAAAAAATGAAGCCTTCTTTTCATAATGATGGTTCAATTTTTTCTTAACAAGGGGAGATGTTGCGAAGTTAGGTAGAGTACTTATGGATTGGGAGGCAGGAAGTTAGAATTTGGTGTTTGTAAAATGCTGTGGAGGGGAAGCATTCAGTAGTCCCTTCAAAAGATGACGTGCCTTTTTTATGCTTACAGATTTAAAATGGATGTCTGTGAACAGCAGCTTGAAAGTTTGCAAGTACACACAGTGCAGCCAAATTGAAATATTTGTATCAAAAAGCCGTACAGTTAACAGGCCAAGCAGCAGTTTTTTACCAACATGACAAGTTTTGAATTTAGCTAACCAATGTGAACCAGGCACTGAGATACGAAAAACCTATTAAATTTAAATCTGATGGTTTTGACAACGTAAGATCAATCCTGTCTTTAGAAATATCAAGACTATAAAAGAAGGGGGCAGTTGGACAAAACCCTAGTGCCAGAGCTAACATCCCTCAGCTCTGAAGAGAGAATTGCTGGGTCTCATAGCCTCCTCTATGTCTTAGAGAAAGCACCATCTAAATAACAAAGGTGCCCATGGCACAACTAGTTGATATTCCTGACAGAAGAATTGACAGAGAAGACACGGAACATTCGAGAAGACACTTCACCTGGCTGTAATTTCGAGAGACTAAATTCTACTTTTTTAAAATCACATATAAGTGGGACTTGTATTTATTGAAACCGCATACCATTAGAATCTTGCTTATTTGGGAATGTTTAATAGATAGAAGGGGTTTGTTAATACTTTAGTTAGTTTGTTCACTGTTAGAGCTAGATAAATAAATTGTTACTTGTTGATTGTAAAGTAAGTGTCAGGAATTCATTTTGTTTAACCACTAGAAGTTTCTAAAAGGCAGGTTACACCACTTTTCACACTCCTTTTACAGCATATAGGGTGAGGTGCTCCTCTTTCGGTGTTTCGGTGATAGTTCTCGGGAGGGCGGGTTCAATCTCTGCTTTATAACAAGTGGCACATATGCATTCTTGAATGCAAACTGTTAGATTTAAATGTCTCTGCGGTATCCTGATTTGACCATTTTTAAATAATTGACTGAGATACATCCACGTATGATTAACAATGCCAGTACAGCAGAGCAAACTCCAGGCACTTTATGAAAACTCATGAGATTACTTGTCCAAAACTCTGACTCTTAAAAGTTTCATATGTATTACTGAAATACATTTTCAATGTGCAATCCGTCTCGTCCTAGTTCAAATATTCTCCTAGAAATTCCATAAACTACTAGCATTTTATTATATTAATGGATAGCACCTAAACATTACATGTTTTAATATTATGATAACTTGGAATTTATACATACAAAAAAAAATTATTAAATTTCAACAGAACTTACCTGTGATCCAGATCCTTCTGATGCTACAAATTCCATTGACTTCAGGATACTGGAAACAGGAGGAAAATGATTTATTGCTAATAATATTCCTGCATTGGCACAAACAACATTCAAATACACCGTTACATTAATAAGGATACCAAGAGTAATAACACCCACTTCCAGGTATCAATATACAGAAGAAATACTTAAATTGTCAATGGCATTAGTGTGCCATGTTACAAACGAAGCTTTTAATTTCACCATGTTGCAATGCACTGTTCAAAATCAAGCATGTAGCCATAAATGCAATTCAACAGGGTTTTTAAGAGGGCAAATATAAAAGTTGATAAGGTAACTTTTACACAATCAAAAGCTTTCAGGTCCCTTATGCTGATTGTGAAGCTTTCAACCCTTTAGGGAATTATTCATGTCCGAAGATCAGTTACAACTGTGAACTGTTGCGACCAATAATGAATTACATAATAGAATCGAAATGTGACATTTTTGTGCAATCTAATCAAAACATCACTGTGACAAATACTTTATGTCTCAGTACAGAATAGATGAATAAATCTTCACAAACCATAATTTCAGAACTAAAATGGTTTTAAGTTACAAATTAGAAGCGAGAACAAAGACGCCAAATGTAGATCATACAAAATGCTTTAAAGGGAAACTACTCTGTGCTCCTGTGATGCATCCCGAATATATTACAAAATTAAAAGTGATGTATAGATTCAAGTTATCGTTGCTCACTAAGCAAGGACCAACTTACTAGTCATAAAATAGGATAAAAACAAAAATGGAGACAGATTTTGACTTTTCAAAGTGCTGATTTTTAACTATTTACTCTGACACTTTGACAACTTTCCTACAAACACGCATTTGACCATCTTGCAGTTACAGGAAGCCACACTATTAGCTGCCATCTAATTTTGAGAATACTCATTAAACGGAACATTGCTCAGCCACCCTTTCAATTCTCAAATCATTGGATTAGCAAGGAGGTGCCCCAATGTAGAAGAATGTACTACAGATCTTAAAGGGTTTCAAGATAATTCACTAATTTCTTGTCATAGCACACGTTTCTAACAAGAAACATATTGTGCATAAGACCTTTAAACTTCTCTTTAACTATTGTTTTAGGAAGGGTATAGTACAATGTACTTCTTTGACCAAATCTTTGGTCACCTGCCTCAATAACTCATCATCTGACTTGATGTCAAATTTTGTCTGATAATGCTTCTATGAAGAGCTTTGGACAATTTACCATATTAAAGTCACATTTGTATAAAGTGCTGTTTGTAATACCAATTTAATCTAAAATTAGCATAAGATCTCATACTAAATCTTGTCTTCAACAGTGACAATACAAAAGCTTCAGAATCTAATTTTAATGAATTAAAACAAATAATATTGGAAATATTCAAGGAATGAATGATTTATTGTCAGGTGTAGCCTACAGTGAAATACAATAACATACAGTGAAAACTTTTTGTTTGTTGCTATAATCTAGCACCATTTTGATAGTTTAACAATGAGAGAAAGTGAAAAGATGTCGTCAGACCCTAGTAACGTCGAAGTCGCAAATCCTCACAAGTTGGAGGAGAAAACAGTAACAGAGGACTGAGTTGGATGATTGGTCATAACCATAATGAATGTTGGAGTAGGGTCCAAGGGCCAAATGGCCTACTCCTGCTCCTAGATTCCATGAAAAGAAAAAATGTGTAACTGTACCAAGAGGAAGATCAGCAGGTCACTGAGCGCAGAAACAGAGTTTAAACAATTTAGGTCAAAGATTTGTCATCAGAAGTTGAGAGTTAGAAGGTAATCAGTTCTAAGCAAGTAAAATGGAGGACGATAGGAAAAAGAATAAATGGGAAGATCGGTTATAGGATACAAGGCAGAAGAGATTAGATGGCAAGAGAGATGATGGTGCAGGGCCAAACTCAAAAATAATTTTGTCACCCAACTTACTATTGAGTAATCGTTTCCATAGAGCATGACTACCAGAATATTAAACAACTTTTATTATTCCGTATTCACATTACATGCGGTAAAATAAATAATCATCCGATCCAATCTGGACATGCTGCCTTTCTCATTGGCTTGATCAATAATGTTCTCTTTGTTAGTGCTCTGCACTAAGAAACCACACATTTTAACTGAAATTATTACTTCCATTGAAGGATGAAACATGCTGCAGAGCAGGGGTATGTAACTTTAATCATTCAAATAGTTACAAAATAACAATCGTATTAAATGCTTAAATTGCTCCACTGAGTTTCACTCCATTAAAGTCTACAAATATGAAAATCATAACAAACATCTATCTACATTGCTCGATACTAATAAACAGCTCATCTCATGACATTACATCCATATCTATTTTCCAAATGATTGTTGTAAGTAATACAGAGCACCAGACCAAGCAAGGAGAACTATCATCTTCTAGTGGAGAAGGAATTGCTTTGCAACCTCGGTGTCAGGATCTGGCCCAAGTCTTTCACCAAATATGTAGGGGATTGTGGGGAGTTGATTTCCGTGTCTGAACATTGGCCTTTTGTTTTTGAAAAGTTGCTTATTTTTAAATGATCGAATAGTGAAGTACTTATATTTTCACCTAATTAGTTCAGGTTAGTTGTATCAAAAAGAAAATAAGAAATAAGAGTAGGCATATGCCATTTGACCCCCAAGTCTGTTCTGCAACTTATAAGATCTGATTGTGGTCTTAAAGTTGTAGAGATGCAGCTGCTTTTCCAGCACTTGGCACATGTCTTGATATCACAAGTACACATTTAAATACTTGTTAAATGTTAGGAGGGTCTTTGCCTCTACCACCCTTACAGGCAGTGTGTTCTACTTTTCCACCACCCTGTCAGTGAAAAAGGCTTTCCTCACACCTCCTTTAAACCTCTTGCCCCTACCTTACATCCATGTGACCCCAGTCAATGATCTCTCTATCAAGTGGAAAAGTTTCTTTCTGTCTACCCTATCTATACTCCTCATAATTTTACGTATTTCAATCCCTTCTGCTATAAGGAAAACAACCCTAGTCTATTCCAGTCTGTCTTCGTAGATGAAACTCTCCAGCCAAGCAACATCCTGGTAAATCTCCTCTATGCCCTTTCCAGTACTATCACATCCCTCCTATAATGTAGATTCCAGAACAGGACACCAAACTCTAGCTGTCATCTAAACAACATTTTATAACCTCCCTGCTCCTAAAGGCTGCCTTGACTCATAAAAGCAGGTATCCCACATGCCTTCTGCACCACTTTATCCACCTATCCTCCTACCTTAAGGGACTGCCGGACATACACCCAAGATCCCGCTGATCCTTGGTGCTTCCCAGATTCTATTGTTTATCATGTACTCCCTTGAGTTGTTTGTTCTGCTAAGTGCATCACCCCAAATTTATCCAGATTGAATTCCATTTACAACTGATCAACCCATTTATGTCTTCCTGTAATCTATGGCTATCCTGTTCAATATTTAACACCCCACCAATTTTTGACATCCTTTGCAAACTTACTAATCAACCCTCGTAGATCCAAGTTCAAACCGTTTATACAAGCCACAAACAGAAATGACCCCTGTGGGTCCTTCCTAAATGAGTCTTCGTCATTTTGATCTGTCATTCGCAATATCTGATTTAATAAGACTTCACGGAGTCACATATATTTCCATAAACTTACTTCTCATTCTTCTAATTTCCAAAGACTATAAACCCTACCTGCTTAACATTTTCACTTAAAGACATCTTCTGCATCACAGGGATCAACGAAGTGAAACTCTCTGAATTGCTTCCAATGCAAGAATATCTCTCCTTACACCATCTTCAAAAAAGCTGACAGATCAGACTGGCACCTTTAGCCTTTGTTTCTTTTGCTGGGCTGAGCCAGTCGGATCACACTATGTTGCTATTGAATGACGTCAATAGGGCTACACTGGAGGACCGGTGGGTGGGTGGGGGCAACAGGCTTCTTCACTGTGACTGGGCCACATGGTGACCTCTGCAAGGTGGGCATGGACTATGACAGGTGCCTGGACCAATGACAGCCAGGCTGTGAGGAGACTGCAGGGGAGCCTCACCGATCACTCAGAGTCTGCATTTCTACTACGGGGTAGTAAATGTTTTGTTTATGAGCAATGAAAGCAGCTGCAAAAAGTAGGCATGCCATGGAATTGTTTGTCTTGTTGAAGTGTGTCTTGATACTGAAAAGGTTGGGAACCACTGTCTTACAACTACAATGCAGATTCTGCCCTCTAACGGGCACAACAGACCTTCAACACATGGCAACTACAAAAGAAAAGCAAGAACAGCACCAACCCTTGTATATGGCCTTCTTTGATCTCACAAAGGTGTTAGATATGGTCCAGTGTGAGGGATTATGGAATGCCCTCCTTTGTTTCAGCTGTTCCCAAGAGTTTGTCTTCCCCATGATGACATACAAGCCATAATCCTATCAATTCACGCTCAGACCGCGGTCAAACAGGGCCATTGCACCAACACCCTTAGAGTCATACCCTGTCTATGCCTCTCAGAGCTGTGTATACTTCAATCAGGTTCTACCTTCTCTGCTCTTTGGAAATCAATCCCAGCCTATCTAGTCTCTCTTCATAACCAAATCGTTCCAGCCCAGGCAACTGCCACTGCATTCTCTCAAATCCATCCTATAACGTGACGATCAGAACTGCACACAGTACCCAACTGTAGCCTAATTAATGTTATATACCGCTCCATCACAACTTCCTTAGGTCTTGTATTCAACGTCTTGGCTAATAAAGCATGTATCCCTTATGCCTTCTTAAACACTTTCTCTACCTGTCCTGCTGCCTTCAAGGATCTATGGACATACACACCAAGGTCTCGCAATTCTCTGTACTTCCTAGGGTTCTACCATTTATTGTGTTCTCTCATCGTATTAGTCCTCCCAAAATGTATCACCTCATATTTTTAGGGTTAAATTCCATTTGCCACTGCTCCCTCCATCTATATCATCTTGTTGTCTAAAGCTTTCCTCCTCGCTATTTACCACATCACCAATTTGCCTATCATCTGTGAAATTACTGTGAACTACATTCCTGTTTACATTATCTATGTACACAACAAACAGCAAAGGACTCAGCAATGAACCCTGTAGTACGCCAATGGACACAAAATCACTGTTCGACCATCGTGTTCTGCTTTTTAGCACCAAGGCAATTTTGAATCCAATTTGTGAAACTGTGCTCGATCCCATTGGCTCTTAATTTCTTTAGCCAGTTTGCCATGATAGACCTTGTTAAAATCTATTCTGAAGCTCATAAACTGTACTTCCCACATCTACACACCTGTAGTCACTTCCTTGAAAAATTCAATCTCTTTCTTACTGATTTTCCTCACTGCAATCTTCGAGCTCATCTTCAACAAGCTCCCTGCCGGGGTGGAGTTAATCTACGTAATTAACGCTCACTCCCTGAAGGCCATAGCTAAAGTAGTCTTGCCCTCTGTCATTGCATTGTGGTATTAGACAATGCTCGTGTCCGCACTTGTTAGAGACTGAGCTCCAAATCATCAACACCTTTTCTGAGGCATATAGAGCATAGGCCTTAATTACACATTTAAGACAAAGGTCCTCTACCAAATCCTTGATTCTGTGAAACCTGTCCCTATCACACTGCACTGCCTCTGAGTTATCAAAATATACAAACAAATCTTGGGACAACATATACTACTTTCCATACCTTGAGATCTTACCTTCAGCAAGAACAATGAGGTTCAGTGCCACCTTTGTTGAGCCAGTACAACCTTCAAGTGACCAAAGAAGACAGTGCATGAAGACAAAGGTCCTCAAACACAGCAACAAGCTCATTGTCTCCAGAGTAATAGTGATACCTGCCCTCCTATATGGCTCAGAGACATGGACTACATACAACAGGTACTTCAAAACCACGGAGAAGTACCACCAGTGCTGCTCCCACAAGATCCTCCAAATCCATTCACGGGGCACCACTGACAGTTTTCTCACTCAAGCCAATATCCCTTGTATCAAAGCACTGACCTCAAAACACTGGCCACACTGAATTAGCTCCATCCTTCACATGCCTGAAAAGAGATTCCCGCAACAAGTACACTACTCAGAGATTCAAAACCTAATCAGTCAATGGATTTCTTCTGCTCAGGAGAGCAAAAAAAAAGCTTCAAGGACATCCTCAAAGCCTTCTTGAAAATATATGTATTATCCACAACGATATTGAAAAATATTGGGATATTGAAAAATATTGGGATACTGACACCTGGGAAAACTCTGGTCCAAGCCTGCTCAAAGTGGAGGGAAAGCATTTGGAAAGGATCTGAACACTGACAGCAAACTGAAGACGAGTGTGACAGAGGAAGGAGTGTATGGCAAGCTGGGCATCCCATCCTCTTATTTTTCCAGCCATCATCTGTTTCACCTGTGACAGAGACTGTAGAGCATGTACAGGGCTCTTCAGTAATCTGAAAACTCATTTTTCATATGGAGCATGTCATCCTCAAGCAAGAGGTTGCCTGAGAAGAATAAGAAGATCTCTCCTTAAATAAGGAGAGCAAAACTATATGCACTACTCCACATGTGGTCTCTCCAATGTTTTGTATAGTCATAATATGACTTCTTTCATGTACAAGGTCACAGATGGCCTTCAACACCACAGAATTCTACAGTCACTCTCCATTTAAATAATATTCTGCCTTTCTTTTCTTCCCATAACTTCACATTTTCCAACATAATTCTCCAACTAACAAACTTTTATCTGCTCACTTTAATTATCATTATCCCTAAATAGGCTGCCCTCACATTTTTGTTTTCCTGCCTATCATTGTATTATCAGCAAATTTAGCTGCAGTACATGAAACACTGCAATGACAACAATGGAAGGGCAGCGTATACTAACTTATTTGTGGAAAGTTACTACTAGTAAAAGAAGAGCCACCTTGTTGAACTCTACAGCAAGTGTTGTTGTATAAGTACAATGGAAACAGATCAATGAAACAGTATTCAAACTTCAGCAACTAAACCATAATAAAGTTTAAAAAAAAAGAGGTAACACAACAGCAGGAGATTTAACTACTTCAAAGTTGAGTGTTGCAGCATTGTAAGCTTGAATATTTTCCATATTTCATCTAAAAACCTTTGTGCGTGAAAATTGCAAATTGCTGTTGTCAAAACACTGCTCAAAGATACAGGATACAACTCCTTTTGCTGAGATCCTAAGATGCCAATTCATTCACTTTCAATAAATTAATAGGAAAAATACTTTTGAACTGAAATTCAAATGACTACTGTCCAATCTATTACAAATTACAGTCAGAGTTGTACAGCATGGAAACAGACCCTTCAGTCCCCCTGGTCCATGCCAACCAGTATCCTAAATTAATCTAGTCCCATTTGCCAGCACTTGGCCTATATCCCTTCCTATTCATACACCTATCCAGCTGTGTTTTAGATATTGCTATTGTACCAGCCTCCACCACTTCCTCTGGCAGCCCCTTCCATACACCCTCTGCATGAACATGTTGCTCCTCGGGTGCCTTTTAAATCTTTCCCCTCTCACCTTAAACCTATACCCTCCAGTTTTGGACTCCCCTGCCTTGGGAAAAAGACGCTGGCAATTCACCCTATCCATGCCCCTCATGATTTTGTAAACCTCTATAAGGTTCATAATGTACACTAAGGACTAAAAGCACTAGCTCATTTTTATGTTCAGATTCATTTCTTAAACAAATATAAAACCTTTCACATCCTGAAACATTTCAATAAGAAAAATAAATGGATTATGGAGAGAAATGCCATCTTATGAAGATAAGTACTAGCATAAACAATCATTGAAAGAAAATAGTAGGTCTTAACAGATGAAAGTGCCAGTTAGATTTTTTTTTGTTCAGTAGAATACACTACCTTAAAGGGTAGTGAACGTAGATTTCAAAAGCAATTGGTTATATACTAGAAACAAGAAACATTTCGGAGTGATGGAGAATGAACAATGGAATAGGGTTAATTCAAAACAAAATGGCACAGACAGAGTTGTTCCAAAGATGTTTCTACTGTAACTGCAGTACAGATGATCATACAGTAATATAGTTTTACAAGTTCACATGCTGCCACATCTGAGCCTTTGGAAAGCGTGCATATCTGACAGACCTAATAAATCGAAGAAAGGAGTAAATGCCATGAAAACAAATTTCTGTTGAAAATTTAAACAACAAAAGACATTTTCAGGAGATGATCCAGCTACCATATGTTCTCATGATGGCAACAGTCCAAATCATATCCTGCCTTTGACTGATATTCACATTCATGGCTCCCCCGAAGGACAAATGTCAAGTCTTGGCAAAGTCACCTGTGGAAGGTTCCAGGGAATCTATGGAGGTGTGGTTCCACCTCATACCCCTTAAGTACACTCCTGGGAGATCTTTGAGGAACAGCTTGGGGGAGAAAGTAAACTGAGTAGATTCTAGGAATACAAGCGAATGACAGCTCATGTTTCAAGCTAATTTCATAGTTTTTATAAGACATATAGGAAACAGAAGCTTCATACGGAATTAACACTCACCTCAGCTCTTTCTTAATCTCTTCGTAGTCAGACTGTCCTTTCAGTTTTTCCTCTAAATGCTTCAAAATAGATGGAAATGATTTATAAAATATACTAAAAACAGAAAAGTCTATTTAAAAGTGCAGTAATTAAATGTTCAGCACAAAACATAAAATTCTGCAAATTCACCATCAGACAGATAATTTCGTGATCACATCTGAAACCTTATACAAAAATTCAATCATATAACTATTGGCCCCTTTCCTAAAAGGCTACCTTTCAAAGGAGTAAAAATAATTTCATACATTCAGTGGAAACAGTAGATTCATACCAGGTCCACAAATTCTTGAATTTCTGCATGTTACTTTTCCTCCTTGACAATGGGCTCTGAATTAGGTATTCTCCAATACTCTCCTGTATAGTACTATACAGGAACTTACTCAATTGCTAATGATTCAATGTCTGTGCAAAATAAATAAGACATGCAAGCCCAGAACAGGCAGGCATTTGCAAAAGTAATCTGTTGACATGCAAGTAGGATAAAAAATTACACTTGCTTCAAAAATTATAGGTTAAAAGCGCAATCTGAAGTCTGCTCTCATGTGTACATTTATTTGTTAATGCCTATAATTTGAAAATTGACAGTATTCTCTTACCTTGAGCGCGCTGTTCTTCACACTAAGCTGCTGCTCCAGCTGTGAGACCTGACTTGCTGAGGTCTCACGGAGTTTGGTCAGGTTTGCCTGCAATCTCTGCACATCCTCAACTAATTGCATTATCTCACGGTCTTTTGCTGCCAATTCAACTTCCAGACTTGATCGTGTTAGCACTTCGATAGCTTGTTCCTAATAACCAGAACCCAGGAGACAAGTTATGTATATACTGTACGTTTCCTGAAATTATTTTAGCATTGTACTAAATGTTTTGCACCTTTGGAAGTGTTTCGACCTGAGCTGATAGTAAACTGATCAAGTTAGAACTTGACTTGAAAGATCATATGTTTAATTTTCACTGTTAGTTAAAATGTGACAGCTAGTCACTGAAGCCTCTTCACATGAGGCTGCAAATGTTCTTAAACAACAGAACAGAAGTTTATTACATGAACGAAAGAATTACTTCATTCCTTCTTGCCCTTAAAACAGCTGGTATGCTCGTCAATGCTGTGATCACCGAAGTATCCCATTATCAGATTATTTTCCATAGGCTCTGGAGATAATTTTGTGATTCCTGTCCAAGCCTGAGGCATACATCTTTCACAGTTCTGAGGGCCTGAACTTTTTCAGTTCTAATAACTTGAAGACTTCCATTTAAGGTCTGCTGGCTTGTAAACTCCACAGACTAGAAATCTCTTCTGCCGAGGTGACTGGTTATATTAAACTGCAGTATATACTTCTTTCTTCCAAACTGAACTGAAAAAAATGATTCTTCTGCTCTGAACTCAAAACAGAACCAATTGCCTAAATGTGTTTATTTTGCCTGTCAAAAATCCAATATTATAAATATCTTATTTATTAATAGCCCGGAGGGTTGTAGTTACTTGACTTTAATTACAAAAGCAGAAATTGCTAGAAACACTCAGCAGGTCAGGCAGAATCTGTGGAGAGAAAGCAGAGTTAATGTTTCAGTGATCTTTTACAGAACAGAAATGATTGAATGGCAGGAAGTAGAGGGTGACAGTTGAGAGGTGTTTTTGTGATTCAAGCCTGTGTCCAGTGGAGTTCTGCAGAGATCAGTGTAGGTGCCTTTGCTGTTTGTGGTATATATAAACAATTTAGACTTCAATGTAGGAGGATTGATAAGTAAGTTTGTACATATGAAAATTGGTGGGATGGTTAAACATGAGGAGGATAGCTTTAGATTACAGAAGGATATAGATAACTTGGTCAGATGAGCTGAGCAGTGGCAAACAGAATTCAAACTGGATAAGTGTGAAGTGATGCATTTGGGCAGAATAAACAAGGCAAGGGAATACATAATGAACAGCAGGACCCTGGAAACTCAGAGGATCAGTGGTACCCTAGTGTACATGCCCAGTGATCCCTTAGTATAGCAGGTCAGATAAGATAAAGTGATTAAGACGACATATGGGATAGTTGAGGCAGAGTGTTTAGGAGCAAGGTGGTTATCCTGGAACTGTATAAAATGTTGGTTAGGCCACAGCTGGATTACTATGTGCAGGTCTGGAATCCACATTAAAGGAGGGATATGACAGACTGGAGAGAGTGAAGAAGAAACAAAGAACAAAAGAGTACAGCACAGGAACAGGCCCTTCGGCCCTCCAAGCCTGTGCCAATCATCATGCCTTAACTAAACTAAAAAAAAACCATTCCGCTCTTATTCAGTCCATATCCCCCTACTCCCTCCCTATTCATGTAACCATCCAGATGCCTCTTAAATGTCACCAACATTCCTGCTTCCACCATCTCCTCTGGCAATGCTTTCCAAACTCTTACGACTCTCTGCGTAAAAAACTTTCCTTGCACATTTCCTTTAGACTTTTGCCCTGTCACCTTGAACCTGTGCCCCCTTGTATTAAAACTTCAACCCTGGGAAAAAGCCTCTGACTTTCCACCCAAACTATGCCTCTCATAATTTTGTAGACCTCTATCAGATCTCAACTCAGCTGCCGTCTTTCCAGTGAAAACAATCCTAGTCTTTTTAACCTTTCCTTATAGCCAATGCCCTTGAGACGGGGCAACATCCTGGTGAACCTTCTCTGCACTTTCGCCAAAGGTTCCACGTCCTTCTGGTAAAGTGGCAACAAAAACTGCACACATACTCCAAATGCAGCCTAACAAGGGTTTTATATAGCTGCAACATGTTTTGCCAACTCTTGTACTCCATGCCCTGATCAATGAAGGCAAGCATGCCATATGCCTTCTTAATCACTGAGATTTACCAGGATGTTGCCTGGGCTGGAGACATTTAGTTATGAATCGAGATTGGACAGGCTGGGGAAAACAACAAATGCTGGAGATCACGGCAGGTCAGGCAGCATCTATGAAGAGAGAGTAAGCTAACGTTGAGTCCAGTTGACTCCTCATGAGAGCTGACAGACTGGGCTTGTTTTCCCTACAGCAGAGGAGACTGAGGAAGGACATGACTGAGACGTATAAAATTATGAGGGGCATGGACAGGTAGACAGGAAGAAACCTTTCCCTCTAATGGATGGATCAATGACTGGTAGTACAAAGTTAAGGCAAGGGGCAGAAGGCTTAGGGGAAATGTGAGGAAAATGTTTCTTCATCCAGAGACTTGTGGGAATCTTGAACTCATTGTCTGTAAGGGCGGTAGAGGCACAAACCCACATAATATTTTAGTAGTATTTATGCTTACACTTGTCATGTTAAGGCATACAGGGCTGTGGGCCAAGTGTTGGAAAATGGGATTAGAATTACGTGGTTGTGTTGTCCAATGCAGACTCATTGGTTTGAAGGGCTTTTTTCTATTCTGTAGACCTCTTTTACTCAAAGGCTTCTTGAGATACTCTTTCAGAAACTTAGATTGTATCCCAGTATTTCTCAATTTAATGTTATTTATAACTAATAAATTGAAATCAAAGTGTTGTCAACATACATAGCATATCCAAATATGTATACCTTTTAGCTAGCTGCAGGTCTTAAATTCAAATGGTAAACTTTTGGCTATGAAGTATCAGTGTACGAACTCAAAATTTCTGATTTGAGATGTATGTCTGTGCTAGAGTGGGAATATTATAATACAGACATGTGTTTAATCCTGCTGTGTGGAATCCTGGCTCTTTGGAGGGACTTTTCTCTCAACAGGAGGACAACAGAGGACTGCTATCATTTCATAATAAAATATGAATCCTGTGACAAAATGAACTTTTGTCATTTTTAAACCTAACATTTCCACACTCTTAGAATCATATATATTAGGTTATTGTCAACTTCAATCACACAAAGATCAGCAGATGCTAACAATTCTGATCTGACAGGAGAAGATCAAATTTGTCACTGCCAATATAATGGTGGTGCAAAATCTTTACAAATTCGTCATTTCAGGAAACCGTAATTTATGTTTGCAAATATCAGGTGTTATTGATAGGTGTGACTTCATCATCTAAATAATATGCAGCAATTTACGAGGGCTTTCTATAGTGGGCAAATTATTGAAAAGGGCTCTGAGAGATCGGATTTATGATCACTTGGATAGGCACAGTTTGATTCGTGATAGTCAGCATGGATTTGTGAGAGGGGTAGATCATGCCTCACAAACCTTATCGAATTCTTTGAAGAGGTGACGAAACACGTGGATGAAGGTAGAGCAGTGGATGTGGTGTACATGGATTTAAGTAAGGCTTTTGATAAGGTTCCCCATGGTAGACTCATGCAGAAGGTAAGGAAACATGGGATAGGGGGAAATGTGGCAGATTGGATTCAGAATTGGCTGACCCTTAGAAGACAAAGGGTGGTAGTGGATGGAAAATATTCAACATGGTGCTCAGTTACGAGTGGTGTACCACAAGGATCTGTTCTGGGTCCTCTTCTATTTGTGATTTTTGTAAATGATTTGGATGTAGGAGTGGAAGGGTGGATTAGTAAGTTCGCAGACAATACGAAGGTGGGTCGCGTTGTGGACAGTGCGGAGGGCTGTTCTAGGTTACAAAGGGACATTGATACGATGCACAGCTGGGCTGAGAAGTGGCAGATGGAGTTTAACCCTGAAAAGTGTGAGGTGATTCATTTTGGAAGGACAAACTTGAAAGCAGAATACAGGGTTAACGGAAAGATTCTTGGCAGTGTGGAGGAGCAGAGGGATCTTGGGGTTCATGTTCACAGTTCGCTGAAAGCTGCCATTGGATAGAGTTGTTAAGAAGGCGTATGATGTGTTAGCTTCCATTAATAGAGGGATTGCGTTCAAGAGCCATGAAGTTATGCTCCAGCTATACAAAAGCCTGGTTCGGCCACATCTGGAGTATTGTCCAGTTCTGGTCGCCTCATTACAGGAAACATGTGGAAGCGTTGGAAAAGGTGCAGAGGAGATTTACCAGGATGTTGCCTGGAATGGAGGGAAGGTCTTACGAGGAAAGGTTGAGAGGGCTAGGGCTTTTCTCTTTAGAACGACGAAGGATGAGAGGTGACTTGATAGAGGTATACAAAATGATCAGAGGTATAGATAGAGTGGACAGCCAGAGACTTTTTCCTAGAGTGGAGGTAGCTATTACGAGGGGGCATAGTTTTAACGCAAGTGGAGGTAGATATAGGGGAAACGTCAGAGGTAGGTTCTTTACTCAGAGAGTGGTAGGGGCGTGGAATGCATTGCCAGAGAGAGTAGTGGAGTCAGCCTCATTAGGGGCATTTAAGCGGCTATTAGATAGGCCTATGGATGATAGTATAAGGTAGGGGTGGAGGTTAGATCGGCACAACATTGTGGGCCGAAAGGCCTGTACTGTGCTGTGCTGATCTATGTTCTAATTCACAAAGCATTTCTCTTTATTTCATTCACGGGATGAGGGCGTCACAGGCTAGGCAGCATTTATTGCCCATCCCTCATTACCCAGAGGGCAGTTAAGAGTCAACCACACTGCTGTGGGTCTGGAGTCACATGTAGGTCAGACCAAGTAAGGATGGCAATTTCCTTCCCTAAAGGACATTAGTGAGCCAGATGGGTTTTTCCTACAATCGACAATGGATTCATGGTCATCATTTGACTCTTAATTCCAGATATTTATTGAATTCAATTTCCACCATTTGCCATGGCGGGATTCAAACCTGGGTCCCCAGAACATTATCTGGGTCTCTGGATTAACATTCCAGCAATAATACCACTAGGCCATCACCTCCCCCTTGCACTAAACCCTGGGTCACGAAGCAAAGAATAGTCCAACCCAACCTTACATTTACAAACATCTATTTCTAACTCTCTGAAAAAGGTCACAGTCAATGGTTGGCTGGTCCACTCTGTAAACTGAGTGGTTGATGAGCAGATATATAATCTCAGACATTGATAGCAGTGTGGGGAAAAAGGCAATGTGGCAACAGCAGCTGAAACTTCGTAGCCAGTGGTCATATGGTGTTCTGTGTTTTAAAGCCTAAGCCAGCTTGGTCAGGAAAAGTTAATTTAATGGAAGCTTACACGAAGTGGTCTTTGTCTTAGAATGGTGTTTAGACAGAAAATGAGTTTTAGCTAATGTTGCAATTAAGCAAAGAAAAGAATGTACTCTTAAAATATTCAAAACGTAGTTGAGCTATCTTATGCAAATAAACACATTATGAGTTCAAAGCCTGTGCTGCAAATAGTTTCAGGTGTTTATTAATCCACCATCTGTCAAAGAGAGATCACATTGCAGCACATGAGATATACCAGCAGCCTGATGCATTGTTTATATGATACTGGGAAGGATACACTTCAGATCATATAGACTATGAAATCTGCTTAAAGGAGTAACTATGGAAGAGACACTGCAGCAATTTGACTGTAAATTCGTGAGGAAAGTAATTCTAAACTTATTTTTGCTTATGCTGACTGAGTGTCATCAAGCAAGATACATGCAGGATTTTGCTTATGCCAGAGAGATTGTAGGCTCCCACACAAGGATGGCAGGATTGTTTTCAACACCTTGTGGTTTTATAAGTATTTCTATGGTAAGCCTACCAGCCTTCTGGGACTATTTTTAGACTGCGTAAGAGATGAGTTGGGATCAATATCATACAAGCAGCGTTTGATGTATGATCCATTTCGACCTCGTCCTAAGATGCCTAGTCTCTCAGGTGCTATTTCCTCAGCTATCCACTCTTTAACAGTTTCCCATTTTGAACTAGCTGTTTTACCTGTCAGTGCTTGATTCAAATCTATCTGGTCAGTTACCTTTTCAATCACTGAAGTTTCTGGTCCTTTGTCATAACCATGATCAATCTAAAATAACCCCACTTATCCTACTTGCTTCTGTGGAATTTGGTCTAATGCTGTTTCCTATTTTGTTGGGCAATAAGCATTCTGATCAAGACGTTCTCTTATATAACCATTTCAGGAATTCCTTTCCCTTCGCTTATTTACATTGTGACCATTCTAGTCTATAGTATGATAACTGAAGTGATGCCTTCATCTTAATTCTTAAGTTCTTGCGTTTCCTGCAAACTGCCGATAAATGCGCTCTTTTATCGCTTTCTCATTATTTGGTGGTTCATCTGTATACGCCAAATAGTATAGCAACTCCTCTATTGTTTCATAATTCAAAGAAAATTGATTCCCTTTTGAAACTTCAAGAACATTGTCATCATCAACTGATGCAACAGTAGATTTGATGATACGGCCCACTCCTTTGTTTTCACCTGCATTGCATTTACGGAGAACATTTTAGCGAGAAATATTGACAGCTTATTCTATATAGTATAGATGGACAGAAAATGTTTCTGTTTGGCCTGATGTTAGGTTCTGGAATACACTACCTGGAAGTATTAGTGGAGGCAGATTAAATTGACCCATTCAAAAGAAAACTAAATGATTTTAAAAAATGAAAAAATAGTGGAATGTTACAAGGAAAAGGCAAGAGAACGTAATAAGTTGAGTCAAGGGGGAGGCAATGGTATTAGCGCTAAACTATTAATCCAAAAAGTCAGCAAATGTTCTGGGGGCCTGGGTTTGAATCCCACCATAGTAGATGGTGAAATTTGAATTCAATAAAAATCTGGAGTTAAGAATCTAATGATGGTCTGGCCTACATATGACTCCAGATCCACTATATTGTGGGTGACTCTTAACTGCCCTCTGGGCAATTAAGGATGGCCAATAAATGCAGGTCCAACCAGAGACGCCCACAGCTGTGAGTGAATATAAAAAAAATTCCTTCTCGAAGCCAGTGTGAATATGGCCAGTCACATGGCCTCCTCCTGTGCTACAACTATTTTATGATTCATTCCATTTCTTGTTTGAGTCAGTTTGCTGTCATTGCTACTACAGTGCTATATGGCAACTTGCCAACCTTATTTATAACTTTCCCATTTTAGCCTGCTTCACATTTCCCTATTGTTTGATCCCTCTTATTTCTGAACTACTTTTGGTTCTAACAGTGCCTGTCTAGTTCTCTGTGCACACTGTCCACGAAAAGTTCATTCCTGGATTCCACGTTACCCAATATTATTAGCAGTTCTTTCCCTTCAGGACTGTCCACTTCATCTTAAGGCCATTGATTTCCATATCACTTGCCATCATCAGTCCTTGAGTGATATCATCTTCCAAATCTGTTCCCAGAACTCCATGTTTAAATCCCTTAGGTTAGCATCCCTGCTGTAGTACTGAAACCACTTTTATTATGCTCTTGGGTGAGATATTACACTCATCTGGTTGCATTCCAATCTATTTAATTGATTAGCAAGGATCACATGCATAGGTTTCTCTTCCACACCTACACCTTTACTTCCATTGCTGCCTGTTCTCCTCTTTCTCATCCATATGCTGCCCTTGACAATGTTATCAAAAAACAAGGCATTATTTTTCAAGATACACTAATGACACCCATCCACAGAATCATTTCTCTCATCACTTCCATTGTTACTAGATTATTAGACAAATCGTCTGCTATCAGTGGTGGATGAGCAGAAAATTATTTCAATTAAAGATAAGAATCATACATCCCTACAGTGTGAAAGCAGGTCATTCAGCCAATCGAGTCCACACCAACCCTCCAAAGAGCAGTCCACCAAGACCCACACCCTATCCTATCTCTGAATTCCCCACCCTAGAAACTATGGGCAATTTAGCATGGCCAATCCACCTAACCTGCACATCTTTGGACTGTGGGAGGAAACCGGATCACCTGGAGGAAAACCACACAAACACGGGGAGAACGTGCAAACTCCATGCAGACAGTCGTCCGAGGCTGGAATTGAACCCAGGTCCCTGGTGCTGTGAGGCAGCAGTGCGAGTCAATGAACCACCATGCCGCCCTAAGGAAGGTGTAAACTATCATCTTTGGTCCTCATGATTAATGCTGCTCCCTAGCTACCAGCTACTTCATTCTCGCTATAATTAAGTGAGACTGAACCCAATTGTTTGCAGCCTGACTGATGTATTGGAGTCTGAGAACAGCTCTAACCATCTACAGTATTAAGGCCACTGATTTCCATATCCACAATATTGTCTGACACTGCACATACCTCAGCTCATCTGTTTCTGAAACCCTCACCTCCATACTTGACTATTCCAATGTATTCCTGGCTGGACTCCCACATCCAACTTTTAAAAACTTGAGGTCATCCAAATTTCTACTGACTGTGTTCTATTCATCCATTACTCCTGTGCTTAGTGATCCAGACCAGTTCCTGGTCACAGAAGGCTTTGAGTTAAAAATACATGTCCTGGTTTCTCAGTCCATCCATGGCCTCAATACTTGCTACCTCTATAATGTGAGAATTTCAACGTCCTAAAATATTTGTGACCATCTAATTCTGATCAATTCAGCATCCGTGACTGTAAATGCTTCGTCAGTGGTGCACTTGCCTATAACTGCCAAAGCCCTAAGCTCTGAAATCCTCTCCCTCTTTCGTCCGTAAAGCACATCTCTTTGATCAAGATTAGGTCATCTGCTATAAGGCCTTGCTGTTAGGTTTTGTTTCATTTTGCCCCAGTGAAGTGCCTTGGGCATTTCATTCTGTTAAGTACACTATATAAATGGAGGTTTTGCTGTTGCAGCTCTGTTCTAATATTTCATTCTAGTGACCGGACTACTGTTAATTTAGTTTAAATCCCGATTCACAAAAGAAGTTCACCTCCTCTCAGGAAGGTATGTCTCAACTCTGTTGAGGTATGAACATCCACCTGAAATAGGTATCTGCTGTCTCACAGTGAGACAGTGTCACTGTAGTGCCGAAAGGAAGAAAAAGGCCTTCGTTGAGCAAGAAGTATTTTTAAAGAAAGTTTTTGGGGCAACAGTATATGATGACTGTGGAAGTTTTCAAATGCTACATTTTTGATCATTTTCTTTTATGATTGGGAATTAATCAATTGTGGAGTCAATAAAGTTTTTTGCTGGACTTTATTGGGAAGACTGATATGATTGACAGAAGTGTGGTGAATAAGGTCAAGCTAAGCAACCCATGCCTGAGAATTATGCTGAGTCTAGTCAGTATATGTTCAAAGTTGGGAAAACCAGACATCAGATTGCAATGCTGTTGAATCACACTGATGAAAAATTATTCCATAATTCAGTTAGTTTATCACATTTTTAACTAATTAATGTCAACAAAATAAAAAGGCACATTATTTCATGTGAAAGTTGATATCATTATTTCAGCCTCTTAGTCATTGAGTTGTACAGTATGGAAACAGACCCTTCAGTCCAACTTGTTCATGCCGACAAGATATCCTAAATTAATCTAGTCCCGTTTGCCAGCATTTGGCCATTATCCCTCTAAATCCTTCCTATTCATGCAATCATCTAGATACCTTGGGTACATTTCTCTTCATTTTAAGTTATATCTTAATCAAATTATCATCTTTTTCAGTTCAATTGCACAACTATCATTCCTCGATTAATCTTCAATGTAGAAAAGTGATCTAAGATTAATAGGTAAACAGTTAGAAAGTGATTTGGAGAGCTCTAGAGTGAAAAATGTAACAGTCAACCCTTCATTCGATTCACGGTCTTTATGTCTTACCACATCAGGAGCTTTTTGGATCTGAGTGGCCAGCTGCAGGGATTGGTTAGCTGAGGAAAGTTGCTCACGCAAGGCCTCCGCCTCTCTCTGAACTACCTCTGCCCTCTGAGGGAAAGAGAAGAGAAACAAAACACACTCATTCAACAGCTGACAAATTATATAGACCCATTAATCTATTTCTGCGTCAGTGACTATAACAGATTTTCCTTAACAGTCAACCTAATAAATGTAAAAAGAAAATACTGAAAGTGATGGATATTCATTTTAAACACTACAAGGAGGAAATAATTGAGTGATTATGACAGTAATTTAACGCCAGGAGCATGGAATCCCTGCTGATATTAATGTTGCAGCTCAGCGAGTTTTTGGGACACAACAAAAACAAGTGAAACGACATTTTTTTTTCTTTTTTTTCCATAGATGAGACCAAAGGGGTGTTCTTTTGGTATGGGGAGGGGAGGAGTGGGAGACGAAGGGTGGGGGAGCAAGGGATGGAGAGGAATAGGAGAGAGAATAGGTGGGGGTGAACGGGAGAAGAGGGGTGGGGGTGAACGGGAGAGGAGGGTGTGGTAAGGAAGGATGGCAAAGGACAGGAGAGGTGGAGATTACTTAGAAAGAATGGGTGGGGAGTGGAGGGGTGAGGTTAAAGGACAAAGGAAGGGTGTGATGGATGGGAGAGGACAGATGGGGATCCTCTAGGGGAGGAGAATGGGAAGGTGCAAGGTGAAACAATTGAAGAATTAAGTTAGATGTATGGTACAAGGGAAGGAGAGGGGATAGGCAGGAAGGGGGTATGTCAGGACACTGCAACAAAGAAGGGGATTGAACAGGCCAAGGAGTGGGTGAAGAGCTGCTCAGAGGTAATGAGGTGACAAGTGAAGTGGATGAGACATGGGGAGAGATGAGGTGATAAGGGGAGAGCAGGGATGAGGTGAAGAACAGAGAGGGGAGGAATGAGGTGACAAGAGGGGAGGAATGAGGTGACAAGTGGGGAGGGGAGGAATGAGGTGACAAGTGGGGAGGGGAGAGATGAGATGATGAGGAGTGGGCAAGGTAAAGGATCAAAGGAGTGGGTGAGGAGATACACAGAGGGGAGGGACGAGGAAGTGGATGAGCAAATAAAAGAAAGGACAGGCAAACTGATGAGGGGAGGGACGAGGGGACGGGATGGTCAACTGGCCGAACCAAATGATTACTCAAAGCATTAAAAATGTGTTACCTGATTGGCTCTTTCCAGATCTGTCATGATCATTTCAATTTCATCTGCTCTGTAACAGATTCAAGGAAGTAGTGAAGTAATACCCTGAACACAATACCGATAGACCCACACAATAATGTCACACCCGCATGTATATTGATTAAGTATAGAAATGTTCTCAGTGGAAATTTCATCTAGATGTTATATTCAGAGCCAGGTACAATTACGCTTAGTAACTATTGTCCATCTTAGTTGGCTGTTTTTAGACAAACAAATCACAATTGTAATTGTATAGACAGCTTCAGACACTCTCCATTACTTGATAGTAATTTTCACAGGTTATGTTTCTCATTATGCTGATAAAGAAATTCTCTGAGGCCAGCAGGAGTTTTTATGAATTACAGACTTCAAGCTGGAAGTTAACTTTCAAGTCTGAAAAGTATATCACACAGGGAGCAATGAACAAATCATAGCATTGAACAAGACAATTAACAAAAAAGTGCATTACACAGGAGACCTCAACACAGGAAAATAGCCCACATATTTACAATTTTATTCCTACTTAATTGGACCAGTAGCAGTCAGCTAGGTAACAAAAGTCAAACCAAAGGCCAGGTTTAGCTCTGTACATCCCTAACTTCAGCCTTGGTAAAGTGAACATAAATATTGATCCCAACAGTACTCCATAATAGGCCTATTAACATTTGTGATGATCTTTTGACAGATCCTCATTCAAATAGTTTTAAAGCCTGGGTTTGAGATGCAAGGCAGTAACATTTATTGATTACAGTCACAAAAATCAGTCCATAACAAGTTAGAACAGCAATAAAGCAGTATAGAGATAGTAGGAACTGCAGATGCTGGAGAATCCGAGACAACAAGGTGCAGAGCTGGATGAACACAGCAGGCCAAGCAGCATCATAGGAGCAAAAAGGCTGACGTTTCGGGCCTAGACCGTT